TTTATCTAAGAAAAATTTGGTTGTAGTCTAATATGTACTTCGTACATGCTCACTAATTCTTGATTGGTAAACATATTAACTAAAGACGTAAGCAATACATAATTCCAAACTTTTATTGGCAAGTTGAGAATGAACAATGTCTATTCTTTAGCTTGAGAAAGTTTTAAAAAAGAAGTAAATTAAGGTGTTAAAGAGGAAGTAAATAAAAAATATTAAAGAAAAAGTAAATCAAGACATTAAAGAAAAAGTAAATTGGGGTATTAAAGAAGAAATAAATCAGGGTGTTAAAGAGGAAGTAAAATATGATATAAAAGTAGATTATACCATTTATAATTAATTATCTATTTTCTTTTTGGTTTTAGAAAATTTATAAATATAGAGCTGTAATATTTAATAAAATACATATCAATTAGAAAACTACTCTTAACAAATCTGTTTGCAGCTTACTGGATGGTTTCCAGATGGTAATTCAATAATCATCAATGTTCCATTCTTTACTAGTGCATAGATGGATTCTGAACAGGTGCCTTCAATGCATGTATTTTAAGTGCTTCTTGTGCGTCATGGGGAATCTGTGTGTGGTCTTAAAGCCTTGAAATTGGTAAATAGTCCCTGATATGCACAAAGTTATGTATTGGATGCTTTCTGCACGAAACACCTTTTCTCACTACAATAGTTTGATTAAGATCATCACTTGCCAACTTACGAGAAGATATGGGATTCAAGTTACCTTCTGGATGGGTCTCTAATCTTGAACTAGGATCAAATTCTTGGACTTGCTCAAATGGTGTATGTTGTTACATCTTCCGTTGGTTCCTTTTCCTCCTAGAATAGGTGAGAAGATCATTGTTGTTTGTTGGTTTAGGTGTTTTGGAAATGAAGATTCAGATGCTCATGACTTGGACACTTTGGTGTAGTTCAGTTTAGTGGTATGTGGCTCACAATGTGGAAGTGGAGTATGAATGGGTGACCCTATATGGTAGTTAATAGGATATAAAGAGATGTAGGGGGGACTCTAGGGTACTGCTTTCAGTATTTACATCCCAAAGCTAGTGTTCTTGTGTGAAACTGTTCTCCCCTTCAATATCAAATTTAGAATGTAACATCCATAGGTGTTTTGGAAAGGGAGATTCGGAGGCTCATGACTTGGACTTTGGTGTAGTTCAGTTTAGTGGTATGTGGCTCACAATGTGGAAGTGGAGCATGAATGGGTAGTTCTATCTGGTAGTTAATAGGATACAAAGAGATGTAGGGGATTCTGGGGTGTCCGGCTTGCAGTATTTACATCCCAAAGCTAGTGATCTTGTGTGAAAGCGTTCTCCCCTTCAATATCAAATTTACGGTAGAATGGTCGGTGTTTAAAGAATGTGACATCCATATGATGAAAATATTTCTTTGTGGTTGGAGAATGATATTTATACCCTTATTTATGAGAAGAGCAACCAAGAAAGATACAATTTTGGGTGTTGGGATATGACTTATGTAGTATTTGGCATGGGGTTTGAAATTTAGGACTCAAGAGACATCATTTCTATTGGATAAGCTGCAGTAAGCACAGTCTCTCTGCAGAACTGTTTAGGAACATGTGTAGAGAACATGAGGGATCGGGTAACATCTAGGAGATATCTGTTCTTTCTTTTGGCAACTCTATTATATTTCGAGTATCAAAATGCGAACTTAAGTTTACAATTCTTTGACTTACCAAATAATCTCTAATAATAGTATAAAATATTCTTTTGCATAGTTTTCAAAATTTGTAAGGCCTGAAACTGGGTTTGCATCGAAGCATTGAATTTTTTTATTTATTTAATTAACCTGTATTTTCTTTCATTAAGAGTACCCATGTAAGTCTTGTAAGATTCTCTGTAACGCTTACTAGGTTAGGAATTTCGAACCTGTTTGGAAAACTGAAAATTTTCGTATTGAAAACTCATCTGGACTTTTATCATCGAAAAGAGAAGAAAATAGTTTATTGGGATTCGTGAAACTTAGATCTCTAACCTTTAGTGGCAAAGCATGATTGCAATATCTTCATTGCAATGGAAAACAAAACCTAGAGTTTGATTTATGTACACTAAACTATTAAGAGTGTGATCTTTCCTTTTAGTGGAATTATTTACCTCAAGTAGATAGAGCCCCAAGCACAATTTAGCACTGTCAATCATCTTCCTGGAATTCAAAAACAGAAAGTCACAAAAATTTGAGAAAAATTTGATGATGTAATTGAGATCCCGAGCGAGTTTAGTAATTGATAATATCTTGTAGTTTAGTTGAGGAACTCGAAGAACAGAGTTGAGTGTTATGTCTTTTGAAATTTTCACACTACCAGTGCCCTCCAAGTTGGAGTCTGATTCATCTGCTATTATGGCCCTGAGGTTCTCATGACGTGCTCTGAAATTTGTAAAGATTTTCATGCATCTGGTCATATAATCTAATCCGCGTGAATCTACAACCCATGAAGTCAAATATTTTTTCTTAAGCATTCAAAGCATTAAAAAGTTAACTTTTGTGAGTCGAGGATTCTCGTAGTAATGGGAGAAGTAGTTGTCTGTGATTGGCTTATCAATTTTTGGAGCATCTGTACTTTCTCTTTGCTGAATGGATTGGACTCCAATGATGTAGGGTTTTTTTCTCTGGCTGTCTTGCCTCTCTCAATAATATGCATATGACGTGATGGCTTCCTATCTGCTGGTTTTCCGTGGATCTTGCAGCATGTGTCCTTAATATGTCCTGGCTTTCCAGTGCTCAGACCAAGCTCGCTCCTTCCTTTGTCTATTGCTGTTGCTATGGTTTTTGGCCAGCTAGGTAGAGTTTTCTAGATATGGTGTGGCAGTTGTGTCAGCAGCATCACTTTTTTCCTACTTTCTTATCTTTGGACTTCAGAGAATGCTTTTTCAAGGCTGGGCTGTGGTCTTGTTCCTTGAATTCTCCCTCGAACCTCATCAAGATTTTTTTCAGTCGAAAGAGAAACTTATTCTTTCAACATGTTTATATTTTATTCCATTGTTTAACACATTTCTATCGGGGTTCCTCCCACATGTCTAATTTTTGCTAATAGCAAGTGCGTTGAAATACTGGGTTACCTTTAAATCTCCTTGACACAAGTGGTGAAGAATGCTTCTATCTCGAACAATTCTGAAGATTTTCCCTATTGTGGAACTGTCTCGTTCACAGCCTCTAAAATTTCTTTTCGTATTCCATAGAGGAGAAAGTTTTCTCCTGTCCCGTTTATCATTGCATTAATAAGATATGGGATAACTATATTGTTTCCTAACTTCTCAGTTTTTTTAACTTTGGGTCATCTGCTGTTGGAAAGGTAGCTGCTCTTGTGAGGCAGTCATCTTCTCCTTTGCCACGTATGAAGTGACCAATGTAGATAATTATTTCCAGTAAGTTTGTGCTTTGTAATGGGAAAATTGCTGCATCTGAAATTTCCACTGCTGCCGGAGATTATGGCTTCTTGATGGGAGGTAACATTAGCAGTCAAGGAGGAACTATGTCTCTCTGTGTCCTTCCCTTATTTGGTCATATAAAAAATTCTTTTATGTCTTAGAGAAGTCCTCTGACACCATGTGAAAACTCTAAGTGTACAAGAATTTTTACTCCACACCTCAATGAACAGAATATAGCTCATTTATGGATGAGAATTCGATCTATTTACTTAGGGAATAACAAATAAAATCTCCTATAAGGCAACAACTAAGCACAGAAAAAAGAAAAAATTCACTTATGGAACGGGTTAACATGCTATCCGAATCCTCTGAATTATGGAAACAAATCAATGAACAAATTGATTGATTAGATTGCTGGGAATCCTATAAAATCCTGTTATTAATCTCGAATATTATGCACTGACTAGATTGCTGGAAATCCTGCTGGAAATCCTGTAATTAATCTCGAAGCTTCTGTACTAATTTGCTTGCTGAAAAATTCTGTAATTAATCTCCCATAGGTATTCTGCTATTTATAATTCTCATCAACAGTTTCATTTTATAGTTTCTTTTTATTTTTTCTTCTATGAAAATAAAGAAAAGAGGAAATAAAAGATTATTTTTACTCGAATGGAAACAACTCAATTAGTCAAAGAAGCAGGAAGGAATGATTGTGACAAAGGATTATAAATGAAAATAAGTGAAAGATTTTTATGTTGAATAAATAAAGGATTATATATGAAAATAACTTACTATAATTTATTTTTCTTGTACCATGCTAAAAATAAACTGAAATATTATTTTTGTTATTATGTTGAATAAATAACACGTATCTGTGGAGATAGCAAGGAGCAAGAAAGGAAAATTAAGAATGTAATCTAACTAAATAGAATATTAACTATAGAGCCTACATCTGTAGGATATTGAATAAGTAGGAAAAAAGTTATATTGGAAAATATTCTTTAATAAACTGTGGAAAATATTTCTATTGTCCAGCATTTGTTATGTATTGCAAAGAAAATAAGTATTTATGGAGATAAGGGAAGAAAACGACCATTACTATTAGAAAACTCAAATAAATAGGGGAAGAGTTAGATATAAGATAGTATCAGGATATCTAAGACATTAACATACATAAGTATTTATAGGGATCTCTAAGCGAAGATATAGATTCTATCAAAACTTAGTGTAAGGTGCTATTGTGTTAGCATGTACCCATCTCACAAAATAATTCTCCTATATGAATTAGAGTTGCTTCTGCTTTGAATTAGAGGGGCACTTATATGTGTTATGAATATCAATTCTTCTATCAAATGATGGTGCTTAAGAACTTGGTGATGCACTTCTAGCTTTCTTTTATCTGTTGTGATGAAAAGTTTAAGAGTATCACAATTGATATCCTATTATTATTTTTTTATTTTGAAATAATATTTTTTCTCATATAAAACATAAAAGTATCTTATTTAACTTTGAGGAACGGCCATAGTATCAGTTTGGGAGCTGTCATGTTTACTTGGATCTAGTTGGGCTGTTTCTTTTACTACGTTTTCTAAACTCTTGTTAAAACAGGTCATACATCCATTTGATGCTCAGGCTGATGGGGAGTTAAGTCTATCTGTCGATGATTATGTTATTGTACGGCAGGTAATTTCTCATGCTATTCCACATGGTGGTATGTGGACTCTACATGTGTTAGAACCTTTCCTTTTTGATGCTACGTAAGATTTGAATTCATCATTTATAGCTGGGATTCACTGAGAGGACTGTTGTCAACCTGTTTTTGCAATTTGAATGCTATGGACATGCATTCCTCACTGCAAATTGTAACATCTTGCTGCTTTAAACTTAATGACACCCTCTTCTAGTTCTGCCAGTTGCTCTAAATTTCAGTCCCAGTTTCTTACATGATTCAGAGCTTTGTGACAGCTACCTACAAGCATGGTCGTTGCATATGCATCCACTCAGATCTTGGTCAATATTGACTAATCTGAAATGCCATGTATCAAGTAACCCAATGTACCACTTCCTCTCTAGTACCTCTTGGGAACAAAAACTTGGAGTAAATAAAGTTTTATCCTATTTATGTGTTTGTGCCTTGAAGATTTTCACAACCAAAATTGCTTATGTCTGTTCTGGGAAATTGCTGTTGTTTATATGATCAAAGTACATTTTCCGGTCCAATCCATTTTATAAATTCATACTGGGATTACGTCTCTATGTATGTGTATAGATCCAACTTAATTTGCTAAAATTTGGGAATTTACACTAACTCAAAATGTTTGCTGGTATACAATATATTGAATGAAAATGATGCAATGAGGAAAGTTAATAATTTACTGTGATGACCAAAGTAGTCTTGTGCTCTCCTCTCCTCCTTCCAAACAGATCCTTACGAGAACTTGGAACTAATGTTTTTGAGGGACTTGGAAGTTTTCCTGCTAATCTTGTTTAGTTGCTGTAATATTTCAAGGTTGCTTCTACTGGCTGGTCTGAGGGAGAGTGCAAAGGGAAAGCTGGATGGTTTCCCACTGCCTACATAGAAAAGCAAGAGAAAGCACCAGCAAGCAAGTTAATGGAAACAGGCTGAACAACCATGATCCTAACACATGCTTTTGTATGTACGTATGCATGTATATTATTTCCTTGTACTTATAAGTGGCAATATCTGTAAATTTCTGGTCAGAGTATTTAGCTTTTGCCAAAATCATATTAATTTTTCTATGGTGTTGTTCAGTGAGATTGCTGTTTGTGTGCTTTGAAATTTTCAAGGTGATAATAAGAGGTGCTTTTTCAAAATGTTTAATACTAAATATGAAGCATCTGAGGATGCTTATCTGCAATTTTGTTTTTTATATATAAGCATCTTAGGTCCGTTCTCCAGAAGATTTTTTTTTTTTTTTTAGTTTTTCTTTCTCCTTCGAGGAACGGTTCAATCACTCATAATAATGAGCTCCCAGGGTTGCCAAGAGTTGTATCATAGATACAAGCTATTGGTAGTTCATCGACATAATAATTGTCTATAAACTACTGCAAGTCATGAAGTGATTGTCATCTATCTTATTGATATCCAATTTTAGTAAGTTGTCTAACATCCTGTACTATTTTATTGACATTAAGGTGCAATACATTTTGATACACCTTTGTTGAGAGCATAGTGTTTCTGATATTGATGGTAAATTTTTAAAAATAATTTTTATAGGAAGACTTAAAACAAGATTTGTATATCTAATTTTACCATTATCCCACTTTGAATTATTTTAGGGTGGAAATTCAATCGCTCAAATTGCAACTTGAATTCTCTTTCCCAAAGATTTCAAAGTGCAAGGTGATAATCATAAGATTCTTGTATGTAATTGATTACATAGAAAGGTTTTCTTTCTTATATTTAAGAATATGTATGCGTAGAATCCTGTTATTCACTGTACACAATTCTATTCTTCCATATGGTATTAGAGATATAAGAAAAATATCTTAAAAGTTCTTTTTAAAATCCTAATCAGCCTTTATCAAAATTAAGGAACACCAAATATCCTATAGTGAACCTAGCCGTCATGGTTGGCCAGTGCTGCAACACCCTTTGGCCCTTCATAGTGGGCCACCACCATAGTAGTTGTTAGCGTTCATAGCAGGCCACTACCACAACATACTCCTGCTTTCATAAGAGGTCATTACCTTAAGAATTGCCAGCCTTCACAACTGGAGGAACAATTGTATGCATAGCCTCCAACAATAGTGCCTCCAATTATAGTCATGCCCCTAACTGTTGCATTGATCATACATATTGTCAAGTTGACGTTCTTTAAAGTTGTGTGATCTTATCCAACCAATGTATCAATCCCAGGTCCTCGTCCAACTACTACCGCACCGACTATACCTAAATTATGACTATTCTTTAGTATAAGATTTATGAAATATATATTGAATTCCTGTCTAGGACTCTAATGAAAATAATAAAATAAAAACTTATAAATTAACATAAATTATGACTCTTCTCTCTTAAATAGTTGTTGGAATCTTTAAAGATTGTGCAAACTCTTAAAATATTATGCTCGATTTGAACTCTTTAATTTAATGGTTTTTCAGTGTTGAAGATGAATTAAGATGCAATTAAGTTGATGTAGAAAAGAATGTGTGGCAACAATTGCATCCAAGTGGACAACTTGGATAATATGAAACCCGACCAGATTTTAAGGGAACAAATTTTTTAATTTTAAATGTGAAATATGCTCCAAACTTGTATATGACTTTCCCAAGTTGAGTGATTAACTCCCCATAATTATAGAAATTGAGATAACGAGAGTTAAAAGGATTAAAGACTTCTTTTGATAACTAATTGTGTGTAATCCATTTTAGAATATTTGTGGGCAGACTTCTTATGCTTGTAAAACTCATTTTTAGATGAATTAACATGAGTTTTATTTACTTTAAGTCTTGGCCATAGGGACTCATGTAACTTAATGTGAGTTGCCCACTCCCCCCTCCCTTGTTCATATCATCCCACCTTCTTCAAAATAATTTATCCTCAAATCGGGACCTTCTCATGTAGTGGTTAACCAACTCGCGCTCTTTAATTTTATTCATTGATAAGAAATACGAGACATATAAGTCATACAAGTAAAGAAATCTATTCATTGATAAAAAAAAGAAAAAATGTGAGCGGTGATTGGATTGATGATAAAATAGAATCCTGGGTCGCGAACAGTGATTCGACCTTGCCGAATCATAGTTACCTTTATCTCCTTATGATACTCTTATACTGAAATTTTTTATTCATATCCCTATCAAAT